GCGTTTCGTCTTCGTCTTCGTGAAAACGTCATCTTCATATGCGTGTAGCGTGAAAGAATTAGCCGACTAATATCGGCATCGTTTGTCATGCACGGATTAGAAAAATTCGCCGAAGCATCATTCTGGAACACATACTTCAGTTTTTTCCTATATTTAACAAAATTAAAGACATTAATAGAACAGTTGTAAAATTTCATATTATATAAAATATATATTGTAAAATATCTCTAGTATAGGAATTAGATACGATAAAAGCTTTATGTTTTGCAATCTTCATGACATTTTCTTTTTAATCGAAAATAATAATAATAAATTATATAATTATAATAAAAAGTAGTTATTAAATGTACATAAATTTTACAAAAAATGTACAAAAATACACATAAATTTTCTTGCAGAATTCTGATTACATTGAGCATTTTGCATTAAATATTTCCTTTTTTTATACATAGAAAGGATTGAGAAAGAATGTGATAACTAATTGAATAAATCTCGATTACGAGGCCGAACCAATTTCATCGTTTGAAAACCACCCTCTAACAAAGAATATGACGACACAGACACGTAAACGGGGGATTTTCGTGGGGTTGACGTGCACATCCAGTACCTATGTATGTAGTGGCTGCCTATTGGGGGTACTCCAGGGTGACAATGATGTAACGCGAAACCTGCAAACTTCTCTCACCCCCCTTTTTCTGTTCGCCATAAACGTAAATTCAGAGCTTTATTCGCTCGTATTAACATTGCATTTTTATTTTATGTGTTTCAATTCAGTAAAGAGTATTAAATTTCAATGCTTGCAGTATAAAATATTACATTCCTCGACAAATTTCCTCAATAAATTGTAATAACAATAAAATGTACGATGAATTTTAATTTACAATATGAGTTTTATGCTAAAGGATATTTATTTGATTTAAATATATTTTAAATAAAAATTAATAGCAATAAATTTGATAATCTTGAGTGTGATTACTAAGAAACATAAATAAATCTAAAAAAAAATATGAATATGATTTTTAAAATAAATAAAATGAAACAGAGTTGCTTGTGTGGAACCAATTTATAATTTCGTATTACTCATGCTTAAAAAATCCTTTCAATTATTAAATAAGTGAATCAAAAAAGTGTATGTACATTTACACGTGTACATTTACACGTGTACCATTTGGTCGAATAGTGTTGCGAACAGGGATGTCTCAGCTGAAGAGGAAGAGAAAGGTGTCGCCGGAGGTGACAAGAGTAGGACGAAGTACACGGTAACACGGGATAGAAAAGGGGCGTTCATAATAACGTCCAAGGGTAGGGAGAGGGGACCAACAGCGTTCCTCGTGTTCAGATGCTCTTTTCAAGAGCGCGAACCCTCCTCGACGCGCATTCAAGTGTCCGCTGCTTTGTAATGCCTCTTAATACCGCTTCGCTGTCGTTATTAAGGATCCGGAACATATTGTCGATACAACAGCGACGACACCACATTATGGCGTCAAGCCCTTTATTGAGTATACACTGTGGGAGTGTGGACGTATCGTAGGAAATGCGGGATGAATTTTTCAGCGGAAGTTGAAAAAATGAAGCAACATAGTCACGATGAAACTTTTAAAAGAAATCATTGAAAAAGATTAGTCTCCGTTCTTTGCAAAATTGTTTTTTGTATCTAATAATTTAAAGAAAACATGAAAGATAGCCAATGTTATTTTTTAACTTAATATTAGAATTAAGTTTTACATACAACACTACCTCTTTATATTTTAATATGTAATGAAAATAAAATGATTTTGAAATATTAATTCTCTGATAGTATAGATATTTCTATTCAGTAAATTTTATTCAATGAAAGATAAAAATATCTTTGATATCTATTACGATATGTTTCGTGAAGTATTTTGGAAGGATTCTCCAAATTTTTTCAGCAAGTGAAAGAAGAGTACAAGAGAGATTTTAGGTTCTTTTATAGAAAATTCGGGCTAAAGGTCTCGCGACTTCTCTAATTTCTGATCCAACAAGAGAGTTCTCCGAGGGTCGATTTCATAGAAAAGTACCTCGTTCCGCGTTTTGTCGGAGTCCGTGATACCTTTCTTTTTTTTATTATCGTCGAATTACGTAAAGTGATTGCGAGAACCTCCCTTGCAGGCACTGCAATGTTTCGCGACGATTCGAGCGTCGCGATGTACCTGCAGATAAATCGTGCGAGTTAGCGTAAGACGATCCAGCGCGCGAAACTATGTCCAGCTTTTTTTCCCACAAAACTCACCTGACACAGGTTCCACTGATAAAGAAACGTAGAAAGTGCGAAGTGGCACATTAAGAAGAGTCTCGTATGAGGAATTGTTAGCGATGTCTCAAAGAATTTGCCATTATAATATAATATTCAAAATAAATGAAGAGTTATTGATTTTTACTGATTTATGTTGTAATGAAAATCTGTAATTAACACTTTTATTTTTACAATATACATATATATGTATATTACACATATATATATTTTTATTTATATATGTATATATGTATATTAAAAAAATATTAGCTATAAAAAATACTTATAATAATTAAATTTCTGGAACGTCAAAACTATACTTGTTTATAGCAATTTTATTAATTTATTAAATTATGCTCTGAATATTCTTCGTACAAACTATCAGAAACATTAATAATTGCATAATAATTAAACTATTTTACAATTGATCAAGATGGATAATTTTGTTTCTGTCTCTTTTCGCACATGCAACACGTCGTAAAAGATCTCACTACATCATTAGCTGACGTGGCATCAAGCCTTAATAAGCGTCACAACTCACAAGCAAGTTTCAGTCCTCAGTAGATCTATCAGAGATCGTCATAATTGGCGTAACATCCATATCTCCCTACCCCTCTCCATTCTCTTAAGGGTTACGCCATTACGCTTCTCCGAGCATGTCACGTTTCTTCCCTCATGCACCGATAATAATTAGCCACAACTATAAATCTCAGCACCATGGGGCAGTCCACGTTATTAAACATCGAGTTCCTCGTTGCTTGTCGTTTTCTACAAAACCAGAATACGTCGTTATTTATTACAAAGAGAATATACGGGTTTACGAGCAAATCTCTCACCTTCACACTCCAGTGAAACCTGTAAAAAAAAAATAACATGGAGAGCGTTCTTGATTGGCTTATCGATGTCGGCTGTTACAGAGGTAAATATTTTTTTAAATTCTTTTTTAACGCCAAAACAAAAATAGTTTTCAAGCAGTTGTAGTACAGTATTTTATTTTCACATTTTTTTTTACGAAATTGATCTTAAGTAATTGACGTAAGTTTTTAATTCGTTTTATATGTATAATTAACGAGCAATTTCAAACGTTTTAATATCGCAACAATCTATTCGTTATAAGTACTCTTGTAGCAACAGTTAAATATTGTAAATGATTTTAAAAAATATCTGTGAGTGTAAAGTAAAATTTTCCAGTTGATCGATCTTTGACATGAGACTTGCGTCGTAGGCATACCAAGCGTATGCAGTTGCACAGGCGTGCGTAATGTGCAATATGATCCTTCATGTGCGTCGTCCATCGGTTCGTCGTTACGTGATTTATGATTTTTAAATTCTTATTTGATCTTCATTTTACGCTGTGATTGAATAATAATTTCTCATAAATGTACTAAATTAAATTAAATTAAAATTAGGGCATAAGCAAAAAAATTTTGTAACATTTTATAATTATTTAAAAATAAATTAAATTAAGACAAATTAAATTGTGATGTTATAAAAAATTGTAATGTTAAAATTTCTTGCTTCACGTATAATGTATTATTTTGCTGCGTGTGTATTTTACGAGAATTTTTTCTCGCTTTGATGTAGCCTATTGTTCCACGTTGTATTTGTGTTTTTTTAATTTACTGCACCTTTAATTTGAAAACACGTGGACCATGCGGGACATTTCCTAAGAGCATATAAAGATATGCATACAAACAATTACAGGAGGGATGATGACAGTACGTCGCTCGCGTGCTACCCTCAAATCACGAAGCGCATCTAACTAGCCGTGTAATCGACAATTTCGACCTATTACGACGCCCTGGGGTGCTATGCAGGCCCTAATAATGTAGACCTTATGCTCTATACAAAGTAATAATAATTGTTATTAAACATGACTAATTTAAATCTTTCAGATTAAATCATCGAATTATTAAATCAATAGTTAGTAACTTAAAAATTTAATATCAAGAAATTTGATATTTTATATAATTAATTACTATTAGTATAAAATTTTAAGTTTGATAAGTTATTCTTGTTTCATGAATAATGAAGCTAGCATATGAATAATTTTTGTTATGTATCACACGGCGAAGAAAAGCTATCGCATCTCCGGATCTACGAGCGGACCCGTCATGATGAATCGCGGTATAAAGTGGCCAGTGACACATAAAGAGCATATTTTCGGGTATTAGGCCGAGGACCCTTGTGGATCCCATGAATGGCTACCTGTGTTCACGCCTGTTCGCGCGCCGTTCATTCGGACAGGACAAAAATCTCTCGCACCGATCTACGTCAAGCAGTGGTGCTAATGGGAAAATAACCGACAGATTATGTCCCCTAATCCGCTCATCGATGCGATCGCATTGGCGATAGGGGGATGAGAGTTCACGCATTTTTTTCTCGTTCATTTTTCGGATCGCGCACAGATCGCGATGACAGGAACATCTCGTGCGTCAAACTGTCTTATCGAGCTCGGCCAGTTCGAAAATTATATATATATATTGCCAATAGTTCAGGCATTTTTTAAAAACATAGTTTGGGTCATAAATTATTACTAAATCTACAATTATCCACCAAGCAAAGCGACATTAAATTATGCTGTCAAGCGTCCATCCACTTGTGTATACGTATACTTATTTCCGTTCGGACAATCCGAGACGTCGCTCTCTCGCCTCCTCAGGTGTGCATCGAGAATGTCGACTGCTAAAAATAAATCCGGTCGCACGCAATACATCGCGCACCGATTGTCAGTGAGCGAGTCCGGGTGACAGAGTCGAGCAGAGTAACGTGTAACGTGTGCACGAAGATAGCCGCTATCTCTCGGCCGGAGGCGGTGTCCGATGTCCGGCCACCAACACGCGGTGCCGTCGTTGCGAACGAGCTCCTTTCGTCACCTCTCGACCTGGCTTATTGTTCGACGATATTAATTTTAACGGCGCGTAGATACGCCGGACGATGACACCGCGAGAACACGAGACGCACCTGCGATGCGGCGTCGTCACAGGATTGCTCGAGTTAAAACCGAGTCTTTAAATTTCTCGGCTTTTGCCCGGGAAATTTTAACTTTGTAGATGACGTAACGTACGTATAATTTGACATTGTTTTATGCGTAACGTGTCTCATTAAATTTATATTTTATTATTAATTTTAGTTAATTGTGTAAATTAAGTTTATCTACGTATTATCTAAGTTCTCTGTCGGAGTTGTTTATTTGTGTCGTTTATGCATATATAATTTTTTAGCTTTATTAATTGAAATTAAAGTTGCGATAAAATTTTGTAACTCAAAGAAAAGTCAGATATCTTGACTATTGATGAATAGAAAGTATAGAAAATCGAATGAGCTACTCGTTTGTAAATGTCATTGTGGAATACTGTTTCACATCGCTGTTCTATGGAAAGTTTATGCATCTCGTACCCTCCTCCCCTTCACTGGTGTCCTGTGCGCGTGATTTCATGGCACTTGCGAATCCGTCATTACAAACGGCTCGCCGGCTCTTTATCGCCACGTCGCTTTACGTGAAACCGTAGATTCATCCACGACTGCGAGAGGACGACCCGGTATGACCCGGAACAAACAGCGGAAGCGAAGCGGAAGATAAACGAGGATGCGTTGAAATCTACGAGAGAGCAAGAGAAAGGGAGGAAGAGAGAAACAGAGAGAGAGAGAGAGAGAGAGAGAGAGAGAGAATTGCCGGCGCCAGTTTAATTTATCTGGATTTACGGTGCTGAAGATGCCTCGTCGTCTGTGCCCGGTTAGAGGAGGAGGATTGCGAGAGTGGTGGGCGAGAGAAGGGGGAGAGGATTTTGCACAGAGCCATTTTGGAATGCAATTAAACGCAGTACAGTGAAACACGATGCCGCCGCCGCTGCTGCTGCTGCTGCTGCTGCTACTTCCCTCCTCCGCAACCCCTATGTTCTGTCTCCCTTCGCTTCCCTCCCTTGTTCCTCCTCCCGCATAGTATCTGCTGGTGCTCTTTGGCTCTGTACTCGAATGCCTTGATGTACCCAGATACAACAAACAGGGTGCTTTCCAAACGGACGAGTTCTGACAAGGCGCAAAGTAAATTCGCGTCTCGTCTAGGCGAAATGCGTTTCATTGCTTCAAAGCACTTTCATCGTGTACCAAGCAGATTTAATTCGAGAATTACTTCGTCGGAGTACTTCCTGTCGCACTGCCGTACTGACACTAAATACGCTATGACAAATATATACTTGTTTTGCAACTTTTATGAGCAGTGTATATGCGAACGCACCCTGTATTGGAAGAATCATTTTGTATGAAAAATTTTTAGATTGCAAAATATATTTATATGTAATAATTTACATATAATTATATAAGACAAAACTATATAATAAATTTATACATATAATATATTAAAACAGACTCGTGAAAAAAGTAGACATAATAATTGTATGTAACGCTCACGAATATATTTAAATAAATAAATTTTAATTACAGATGTTGAAATGATAGATTTAATACGAGATGTTTTATATTTAAATCAACATGGTTTCTGTAAGTAGTATTATTTTAATTACATATGATATATTTATATATATATTTCAGATAAGAAACCATATTTCAGCTTCATCCCTTTTTTGGGATCTAATAAATTATACAAACCGAATTTACAACAAATTTATTTTCGAGGACCAATTGCCTGTAAACGACGTACACTCAAACGAATATCGGATTGTCGAGTACGTCTTTAGATTTAACAGAAATGAAGGAGGGATGATGAAATCGGTCGTCCCCGGATTCGTTTTGATAAGGAAGAGCATCATCCCTATCCCAAGGGTCGGAAACAGGAGGACGTACAAAGAGGGTGAGAGAGACAGAGAGGAGGAGAGAAAATGGCGGCCCAGAGGGAAATCCGACACCAAATCGAAGGAGACGCCATCGCAAAGCGCGGCGCCGCCCCTTTATCATTGGGTCTTGGCTTCGGCACGATGTCATCCTCGAATCCATAAGCTCGAGCGTAATCAAATCGGAATAATTTTCATAATCATCCTTGCGCTTCATACGTCTCAAAATTTATTTTCTCGCACAGTGATATTAATTAAAAAGTTGTATAGCTTAATTAATATTATTGTAACAAGTAGAATTTATTTAAAAGAATAAATAGCGAATCCAGAATTAATTGTTAGCAAAAAATAAAGATAATTTTAAGCGTTATTGACGTATTTAATCAGTAAGGAAATATTTCCCTTTTGTAATTAAATTATCTTAATTTTTATTTCGAATAAATTCTTTATTTAAAATCTGAGCGTCTTTTACCATTTCAAAATATGTTACGCTACATCGATCTTACATGACATACAAATGGCAATTAGTTGAAAAAGGCGGAGTAGATTCAAAGGATTGGCGAGGCGTGCCGAGGAAAAACGTCTTCACTCGTCTACTAGTAATGCATCGGTTCTCTCTTGATCTATATAACACCGCCAGACTTCGACCACCAGATTTTCATCACGTGACATTCTAAATTTGTGTTGCTATCGCTTTTATTTAATAAATCTTTTGGTTAAATCAAATAAAAGCGATAGCAAAACAAATTTAGGATGTCATAATATCAATATATTACGCAAGAAAAAGAAAGAACAGAGAAATTTATATTATTATATCCTATAGTATATATTTTAGAGAACATTTTAAGTTATATTAAGACACAAAGTAAGTAGTATATTTAAATTCAAAAGTAGAAGAAAGAGAGTACATTTAAAAATCTTAATAACACATAAAAACATGTATTATTTAGTATCAGCAAAAAACAGCTTTAATATATAATATAATAAAACCAAATAATTTTCAAATATTTTATCACAAATTCGATTAAATCATGCATAATAATGCATATGATATAAGATTTCATTTAACTTATGGAATAGAGGTAAACGATCGTTATATACATGTGTACAATACAAGATAAGATAATGGTAAACGATATACATGATGGTCGTTAAATAAAAAATTCGTTTAAAATATATATAATTATGGTGCAGATAAATTATTTTAAAAAAATTTGATATTTACTAAATTATTTTCATTTATATTTTATAAGTAAAATATTTTACGTACACATAAGAGTACCATACACGTATATATGATGTTCGACAAGTTCTTGAAAATATCTGAAAACAGTTGATTCAATTAAATCATGCTGGCATGATAACACGTGATGTAAGATTTCATTCAATTTATGGAATGGAGATAAATGATCAAAATACATGTATAAGATACGTAACGATAAATGATATACGCGATGGTCGTGAATGAACGAAACCGATCCTTGGGCGTGTACGAGTTCGTATTCGGACCGATCTGCAGCTAAAGTTACGTTTGTCGTTGGATCATATTTGCAGAAATGTGTATCATAATACGACTCCAGAGATGAGCCGGCGACCTTCGCGAGGGGGTGAAAATCTTATCGCAAAAAGTAAACACTCTAAAAAAAGTGATATCTGCCTTCCTCAATCACATCATTCTTTTAATCATTCGTCACATAGAAAATCTGTCGATATTACTCCAAAATCTAAAACAAAAATTAGCATAATAAATTACTATAAGAAATGTACATTTTAAGATGATGTAATAAATAACTCAATAATTGTTTTATATTTGATTTATATTTCAATACATATTAAAATATATATATTTTTTACCTTATTATAGATATGCAACTTATGTCGTAAAAATTATGAAGTTATATCTTTAAGTTTTGCGTGTATTAAATTGTCCAAAATGTGACGTTTAAATGATTCATAAACAAATTTATGACGGATTTCCTTTCGTCAAAACCGACGAGAGAGAGAGAGAGAAAGAGAGAAGGGTGAATTGCCAGTTGTTGTGAAATTAATCAAACACAAGGTACGATAGCGTCGCGTGGAATCACAACATGGTGTACGGTAACGTTGACACGTTCCATTTCCGGTGTTTATTGGTTACACGCGTATTTCGTGATTCTTCGATAGCTTCGTGATAGTGGAAAACAGTATCTGCGCGAAAAATTTGCACAAAAATTGCTGAATATTGTAAATTGAAAGCTATGCAATAAAGATATAAATAAAATCAAATCTTCGATAAGCAAATTTCTTTTGCTACCTACACGCTTCAAATTTTTATTTTAAACTTAAAGTAAATTTTACAAAACGAGCAAACTAATGAAAAAGTAATTTTTCACCGATTAATAGATTTATTTTCAACTATTATTTCGAGAATATAATTACATCTATAGCAATATACGAGTTTTATTAAGGCTATTCAACATGAGAAAGCAAACATATAATTCGAGAATGGAGTGTGAGACCAAGGGGAAAGCCCGATGCACAATACCATAATTCGTCACTTCAGTTACATAACAAAAGAAATTACGCGAGTCCGACTCGAGAAAGGAATCGCTGAAATTCGATATATCCAGGTAATCGGTCTGTCGCGGAGGTCGCCAGGTGAGAATCCAGCGCAGAGGAATCGGAAGCGTCGCGGGGACGGCGGCGACTAGGATGGGGTGAACTGGCAGTCGGTAGGGGGTAGAAGCTTCGCACCGCCCCCTAATTTTCCGACCAATGGAACCGAGCTGTACGTCGCGACGACCAATCGCAGAGTAGTGGCTGTGCCGTACCTGCTCATCGCGCGGTTCTAGTGCCGAAATAAAAGAGAAGGACGACGAAGAGATCAAAGGGGGAAAAGGAGAGAGGAGAGAGAGATGGAAGAAGCGAAGACCGAGAAAAAGAGAGAGATAGAACGATATCGGCAACTCCATCGTCAGCATTGCCACAAGGCGGCCGCACGACCACAATTCAACAACGGAATTGCCAGCGGGACGACGGCTGTCGCACCGCGAACGCGACGACCGTGATCACCTTACTAACTTGGTGACTTGGTCACTCAGTGAGATAGTCTACCGCGGTCAAAGGCATCCTCCCGAGGAATATCGGTTATGCAATCGGTTGTTTGTTCGCGCGATCGCCAATGGGTTGCTTCATAAACTCATTGTTCTCCAACGTAAAAACGGGGGTGATTGCGGATATTTGAGACTAGAAGTGATCTCGAGGAGATTTGGGAGTGCTCTGGTACCACGCTGTGAAGTGTTTAAGAAAAACGTAAAATACATGCTTTCTTTCCTTGTAGTGAATTCAATGCTTTCGCTACGGGTAATCTATCATTAGTCACAAAGTGGTTAGTCGCAAAGATTAAAAAGCCACAAATCAAGCATTTGTGGCATTTGAAGAATGTGTACTTGATGGCCAATAAACGAACTGATAATTGGTATCTTTTTTGGAAAAATCTCGGAGGATTATTGTGGATGTGAGAAGTATTCCATTATGATTACATAATTTATTATGAACAGTCGCCAAAGTTAAAGAATTTAGACTTGGTTTCAGACGCCGTCGGAACTCAAGTTCAAAGTTATTTGCTTACAATGCGGTAATCAAACACGATTTTGAAGAACAAATAAATAATTATAAACGTGACGAAAAATTTTAAAATTATTTATGAAAAACCAAATGATTTTCATTTATAGAATTATATTTGTTTAAGTACAAATGTAAAAGAAAATTTATATTAAAAACTGAATAATAGTCATCAGAATGATTGAAAAATAACGGATTCGAGCTATTCTTCTGCGATAAAGTGTACATACCGTCAGATATATCGTGAAAGTGTACAGTGGTTGTACTTTTTTAGAAAAAAAATTTTTTTTTTCATAATTAAAAATTTACGAACAATTTTTGAAGCAGTGGTTTGAAGTATGTTACAGCTTCATTTGAATAAGTCTTGATGAATGGAAATGGAGTCGGGCATCGACATGAATGAAACGCGCGTGATTAAACAACCGTCGCGTTGACTTGAACGTGCGAATAACGGATGCTTACTTTTGTCATCAGTTATTCATCCGGTCGATCTATAAGACATATCGATACTACGATCGTATTCCAATTTGCCGAATGACAAAAGCGGGATAATAAGTTTCTCGTTGGCTTTAATCCTCAAACTAAAAATTTCACGATAAGAATTCTGCAGGCGATAAAAAATTCAAAGATAAGAATATATGGACAACAAACAAACATCTATTGAGGATGAAATATCTATGTAATAAAATAAATCAAATATATTATGCCCAAAATTACATGTAAATTTTTCGAGTATAATTAAGGCGAGTTGTGTGACAAATCCTTAATTTTTCACAATTTAAAAAAGATTTGAATTACAATTCGGTTTGTAATTCAACATACGTGATCTTTGAATTAACTTTAATAAAGAATCACGAAAGAAGTTTGCGTCTTCGAAAATTTTTCGCGCTTAGGACCGGCGAATGAGCACGGAATCTTGTTTGCTGTCCGACACCTGCATGGATTCATGAGAGTCACACAGTCACCAGCCAAGGATGTCGGATAGTTCAGATCAGCTGTCATCACCGAACAGCGACTGTAATAGTCAAATGGGCGTCGTGCATCGCAATGCAACCGCGCAATACAGCAACACATCGTCAATGTCCGGTCTCGGACTGACTCATCATCCCCAAAATTTGACGCCGACATCGAATGGCAGTCCTCAGTATTCGCAGGAGATTTCCACCTGCAACTCTGCCAGCGTAAACACCAACATCGGTAATATCAGCAGTCTCCCCCTTAGCAGCAGTAATTTCACACCTGAACAGATATCTTGCATGTGCGAGGCACTGTCGCAAAGCCAAGACATTGAGAAACTATCCAGGTAATTTAAAGAGAGCGTGCTTTAATTCATTGCGTATTCCTTATTTATTTATTCAAAAATTATGTGCGTAAGATTTTTTAAAAATTCTGTTCTTGCGTTACAAAATTCTAAAAAATTATACAAAATTATTTGTGTATAAAATCTACTTAAAAAACTACGTTGATACCAGCTTTCTTTGGACCTTACCGCCTGGAGAACTGTTGCGCGGAGGCGAGAGTGTCCTAATGGCGCGTGCCGCTGTTGCCTTTCACCGCGGAGCCTATCACGAGCTTTACTCAATCCTGGAGAGCCACCCTTTCTCGCCACGTCGACATCCCGAACTTCAACAGATGTGGTTTAAGTCGCATTATCGCGAAGCTGAGAAAATCCGCGGTCGACCATTGGGCGCCGTGGACAAGTATCGGCTG